GGCCGCAGCGAAAGCAGACTCCCTTGAAGCGCGGCTGCTGGCACGTAGCAGGGGGGGAGCCCTTGATGTCCGAGTCCGTGTCGCGACCACCGGGACGGCCGCCGCGCTTGTAGCCGAGGCGTGCACGCTTGAGCGCTGCCACATCCGCGACCGCCAGCTTGTAGGAGCGGGATGTGAGGACACTTTTGGACTGATAAAGCTGGAACCGGTCGGCGGCCTCGAAACCGGCTTCGTCCGCAACGAGAAGGACTTGGAAACGCTTATTAATAAGTATTTCGATATCCTTTATGTTGTTGAGTGCGCCGACGACGTCGCCTTGCTGCAGCTTGAAGTCGATATGCTTCAGGTACACTTCGATGGCAGTGAAGACCTCAGCCTGGTCGCGTACGCCCTTGCGCATGAAGGTAGTAGCTGCGGGCGTGGGGCCAAGGGGGGGGAGAGGGGGGCGGGTGCAAGGATGCGACGACGAGCAATGTTGGCGGGGCCCTCACCGTCGTCATTTTCGGAGTCGTCGCTGTCATCGGGGTTGTCAGCGGGTGCGGGAGTTGGTGCCGGGGGCTGGTCGTCGGCGCGGGGAGCCTTGGGCGCGCGAGGATAGGTAGCCATTTCTTTCTTTTTGTTAAAATTGATCGTAGGCGCAGCATTATCGGATGAGGTTCCGACTGTAACAGCAGGAGCTTGCTGCTGTAACAGCGCCAAAAGCGCTTGCAGCTGGTGCGCATTCAAGGTGGGGGCGGCGGCGGTTGGCGCGGGGTCAGCGGCAGGCGCGTGCTGGGTGGTGGGGCCTGCCTGGCCTGCAGGCAACGCGCCTCGGGGTGGCGCGTGGTCTTCCGTTGCAGCTGCGCGAGTTTCTTCTGGAGCAGCGTGAGTGCCGCCGAGCAGGATCTGGAATGCCGAGGGGCCCTCGCCGAAATTGTCCTCAGCAGGACGTTTCTGACGACGGTCAGTTCCCCCGGGCGAAGTTCCGATCGCCTGGGCGTTAGCGGGGGTAGAAATGTTGTTCGCCGCGCGAGCCGGAGCAGAATTGGCGGAAGTCATCGTGGCGATATTGTGCTGCAGAATGTCGGTGAGGAGCGTTGTCGGGGCTTTGAAGCGCGGAAGAGACTGGGTTTTCGCCAGCTTGGGCGAGAACAGGGAGACTAGAACTAGGACGAGAAATGGAAAACGAAACTGGAACTAGAAATGAAGAACGTGGGTGAGGTCGAATGGCCTCACGTCCCTCTTTTGTAGGCAAAAGAGGGTGAGTAGCGCTTCGACGCTGTCCTTGCTGCGTTGGCCCTCGCTGCACTTTCACAATACACATTTTTATAATGCGTTACACGCTTTCAAAAAATTACATATATGTTGACACACCCCCTAGGCTAGACAAGGGGCAATGACTCGCACAAGACAAGCAGCTCAGGGTGGCACTACTAGTCCAAGCTCTGAGACAAGGGTCTGAAGAGTGCAGCAAGAGTACAAAGGAAACAAGAGTAACCCAAGGCGGCACTACTAGTCCAGCCATTGGAACAAGAGCCACAAGGCCTTTCAAGATTATATAAGGAGTAGTACACAATCAAGGTCCTAGCAAGTGAGAAGCTACACAAACCAGAACAAGCTGTACAGAGTGCCGCTGATGATCTTTAGGTGCAAGTGCATTCAGGTGTGTCTCCTCAGCCGCTCAGCCTTCATGGAGGCCAGTGCGTCTCTGTCTGCAGTAGCGAAGACCAGGTTGTCTAAGTAGACAAGGTTGTAGAACGGGGTTTGGCCTGAACGAACGAAGAGCGAGGGGTCTGCAAACGATGGAAAGAACTACGTGTCAGCTAACGTAGCACGCAGCGTGTCATGCCACTTGTGGGGCACCTGCCGCAGGCCGTAAACCGGGCGCCGGAGAAGCCACTCGGTCCCAGGGGAGAAGGTGCTGGTGAAGCCTGGCGGATAACGCAGGTAGACGTGCTCGTGCAGACTGCTCTATAGAAACGCCGCAGAGAAGTCGAGGGAGTGCAGCTCGTAGTCACGCTGTGCTGCTACGTGTAGCAGCGCCCGAAGAGTGGTAATCTTTGGGGTCGGGGAGAAGGACTGAAAGAAGTCAACACCCTCGCGCTGACTGAAGCCTCTACCCAAGTAGCGCGCCTTGAACACCTGCGGATCTCCAGAAGGGCGCTTCACCTTGAAGAACCACCGGCCATCGACTACGTTCACCCCAGGTGGAGGAACTTCGTCGATGTAGGTGCCGGTGGATCTCCAACATGCCATCTCCGCGTCCATGGCAGCTATCCACTGAGAGACCTAGAGTCCCGAGGTCGCCTTAGTGTAGGTGCGAGCGTTTAGGATGTCAAGGGCGTCTGGGTCACCCTCAGGGACTAGCAGCATGGAGCAGAGATGAGGAGCGGCTTCGAACAAGAAAGCAGGCTTATTGTGCCGGTCCTCCAGGACGTCAGTGAGAGCAAGACATGTTCCCTAGGAGAAAGGACTACTTCTATATTTTATAGGGCACTCTTGATTACCTAGAATACTCCATTTAATCACTCGGATTATTTGATCCAAAATGGTTATTTGGTTTATTCTTGGTTATCTAGATTAACTGTTGCGTGCACCTAGTGTTCACCTTACTTCGACGAATCCTCTAGTGCTTCTAAATTAGTTGCTTCTAGAGGGAAATGGTTCCTTTCTAGAATATTCACGTTTTAGCTAAACTCGCGCCTCGCTCGGAGGACCTCGCGAGTGCTCGCCTATAAATTGTGTTGTTCCTCAGGATTCAACATTCAATATTCTTTCAATAGTTCACATTCTCTTCCGCACTATGCACGGCGCATTTGATACTATGACAACATCACTACCAAGTGTAGGTGCACCCCCGACGGACGGAGGACGGACCAGAGCGGTGGCGTAGTCAAGGTGGCAGGTAGAGGCAAAGTCAGCGACGGCAGAGACAGGCGAGTCAAGACTCGAGACAGGAACAGACACGTTGGTAACGAGGGAGGCAAGGACCCGAGGAACAAGAGGACTAGTAGCACGAAGGAGGTCACCGCCCTCCTCCGCTTTCCCTCTTCCCCTTGCCCATGGCAGTCAGCTGCTGCAGTCGTGGTGATGGCGGATTCTATGCTCCGCCTGGACGCGGAGGGTCGGGCCGTTGAGTTTGAGGTGTGGCTCGTCGACCTCCCCCTCAAGCTGACCGGTCAGTGCCAGGACTGCCACTCCCACGCCGTCCATGTCGACGGTAAGCTCCTTCGCCCCACCACGCCCGCTGCCCTCTCTGACGCACCCACGTCTGCTGAACATGAGGCGTTTGTTGCTGCTGAGCTTGCCTGCGCTGTCTGGGACTCGCGCGACGCCATTGCACAGCTTGCCATTAGTCATGCCCTCCCCCTGTCTGAGCGTCCCCGCTTTATCGCCGTAGCAAACGCTAAGGAATACTTAGATGTCGTCATCGCGTGCTATTCCACTCCCTCCTCAGCCTCTGCCAGCCGTCTGATCCTCCCCATGTTGTTCCCTGACCTTGCGTCCTTCCCCACTGCTGCCAACCTTGCCACTCTCCTCCGCGCATTGAAGAATAGCTACCGCACTACTAGCATTGAGGCACAGATCACTGCCTTCCCGCCGCCGCTTTGCGCTACCCTTTATTTCATTGCCACCTGCCTTCTTGACCATCTTGCCACTGCCTGCAACCACTTCCTTTGTCATCACCCAGGTGACCTCACCCTTACTGCCTTTGTCACCGCCCAGTCCGCGAGAGAGACCCGCCAGCGCAATATCGTTTAGTCTAGCGGTACTGCAACGGTCCCTATCTTCCAGGGCTGTGCTCCTTCCTAGTGCACTTACTCTGACATTTCTGTCGCTGTCGCCAAGACAGTCCCTACTGCTGAGATCACCGCTGCAGCCTCAGCGCAGCAGCATCAAGGTAAGGGCAGCCGCCCCAAGGGGGCCCGTGGCGGAGGGAAGGGTGGTGGGGGTGGTCGAGGTGGGGGCGGAGACGGTGGTGCGGACGAGGGGACCGGGGCTGGTGCCCCCAAACAGCAGCAGTAGCCGCCATGGGGACTCCGCCGCCATGGTGACCTTGTGGCGCTGGTGGTCGTCGTGGTGGTGGTGGGCCGCGTAGCTCGGTGTCAGGTGGTAGCTCCAGTGTGGCCACCGGCCAGTACCAGCTTTAGTCCTGCCCCTGCCGTGACACCATCTGCAACCGTCCCGGTCACACCGCCCCCCGCTGCTACCACCGCCTCGACGACCTCTTTCGCCTCCGCTTCGGCCCCGCGTCGGACCCTCCCAACTAGTACGCCCTGGTGCGTCACCGTGTGCCTGTCTTATAGCTTGATATGGATCAGATTAGGACTGCTATGTATGTCATGCATGCTGATGACTCTTGTGTGACTGGATCGTATAACCCGGTATTGCCTAGCGTAGTCTAGGTTCCCCTGCTGCGTCCGGCGTAGGATCCCCTGCCTGGTTTAGCCTTGGCTCCTCTCTACCTCCTTCGCCTGCGGCTGCTACCGCCACGCTCTCGTTCACACTAGACTGTGGTGCGTCAGTCTGCTTCTTTTGTGACCACACTGCGCTCACGCTGCTTGCTGCTTTGCCGCTGTAGCGCTTGCTGACCCCTCCTCAAGTCCGATAGTTGCGCATAAATCCACTACCCTTCCTTGTCCGGTGGTTCCCTCGGGCTCTCTTACAGGCTTGCACATCCCCTCGTTCTCTAGGAACCTAGTTGGTGTCGCCTGTCTTCAAGACCTCAGCATCACCACCACATTCTCTGGACACGAGCCGTACGCTGTCTGTACCGAGGCCGCCACTGGTGCCCCTCTCGCCACGCTCCCCCGGGACCTCGTGTCATGCCTGTTTTCCCTCGACACCGCGCCCTCCACCAGGTAGCTGCGGCTTGCTCGTGCTGGTCGCCCATCCACTTGTCACTGCTGTGGCACCACCGCCTAGGTCACCCCGCACTTCCGCGTCTGCGCTACATGTCTCATCACGGTCTTGTCTTCACTCCATGCGTCACTCC